AGAATATGTGCCCAAAATAAGCATTATCTAAGATAGTCACACATCTTTGCCACTGCGCTATTGATGTTGTATGAGTTTTGAAAATTAAAATAATAAACTAGTTTTTGTGATTGGGTCGCAGACGAGAGCGGCAGACATAGTGGTCGCAGGCGAGAGCCGCAGCCGTAGTTGTCGCAGGTGAGAATCGCAGTCATAGTGCTCGCAAGACCCGGTCGCAGTCGTAGTGGTCGCAGTCTTAACAAGTCTCTATTTTATATTGAATATGTTTTGAGTCGACGATCATGACCAACTGACGAATTTCGCCAAGCTGACGTACGTAGTCAACAACAAGGGTTGAGGACTTGACGAGAGCTTATTTCAAAAGAATGAGGTATTTATGCAATTTATAAAATATTTTTCGTTGTGCGTAATTGCGTATAATATTGTATCATCAGAAAGAACTTGAGGAGTGGATGACATACATAGACTCGTTTGTAGCGACTACATATCGCTCGATCACAACTCTTAGATTCATTGAAAGCCACAGGCCGGTTCCAATATGTATGTTGTTTATATACACACTACTAGGACTCTAAGTAGGCATGGCGGTATTCTGGCTGTACAAATCAATGAGTCGTTCGTTCTAAATGGATATACATAGAATAGACTTATTTAAATTTGACTAGAGTACAAGTATGCATCGAAACTATTGATGATAATGAGCTAAAAAACCCCCCATTTTTCTCAGTTGAAGGAAGGGATCATGGAGCAGCTGACTCTGTTCACAACAAGCAAACACTGGCATCTCATTTATTTTGCAACCTCCAGCAAATAATCCGTAGAATATGTTGCCGAACGAAAGAACACCATTCAATGCCTGTTGGAGAAGGCTTATTCAGGCAGTTCAAGGTAAATTGTTTCTGTTAGGCTGGCATAGCAATAAAAGCACATAGAATAGCAGTCCGGACAGTAGAGTATAAAAAAGTGAAACATTGGTATGATAGCCAATCGGGCTGGTGGCACTAGCTAGAGTTCATAATCATTCACATCGAGGTACAAGCATGTCATGAGATATTTCATCAACCTTTTGCGAAATTAAAGTATAAATGGTGTGTAAATGATGGGTTTTTGTAAACCCATATATACTCTCTTATGTAGGAAGTATGTTTAAAAAAGCTCCTTTTCAAAACCTAGTTTCAGACACGACCTCGACAGCTCGACTCTGTAGAGTGGATAAATATATTTATCATTATTTTATGATTGTAAAGTGTGAACTGTAAACCCCTTTCAATCTGTAGTTGGACTCGCTCCACACAACAAGTCTATTTATACTCGCTCTATTGTAGCACATAAATAATACATATTGACTCAGAAAGTAAATAAATAAATAAAAAAGAGTCGCTTCAAAAAAGAGTGGATAAAAAGGAACGCAAGTCACTCGAAATTTAAAATTCGCTGGGGGCAACGGAAGCAAAAACCTAGCGACGAGCTTTTATTTAGGACAGGCCTAGAATAGTTTAAAATCCATGGTTTTATAGAATCAGCCAATAATATACCAGAAAACTGTGCTATCGATTTAAAAAACCTTACAACTATCAACCAGTTTCGAAACCCTGTGGATGGTACCGATAACAATGATCCAAATCTGAAATCTCACACAGTCGTGAGTCGGTGCACCACGAAGTATCGAATCTAGTTCCTTGTAGCGCACAGAATACAACAATAGTACATACATAGACGAACAGTCGCATGCAGTTTTTATGGTAAACTATAGTATGATAAATATCGATTCGTAATGTATACTGAAGTGCTTGCAAGTCGTAGACCTACATGCGTACACACGCAACGTTAATAAAGTCTACATACATGCACATCGAGAGGTTTTCAAAACTTTATTTAGATTCTCATAGCGATATAGCGCTTTTGAACAAGCAAATTTAGATAAGCAGGGACGAATACACTGGTAATATGATGAGACGCACTTCCAAGCGTGCGACGACGTCTAAAAAATCGCAAGCAATCAATGCAAGGGCAACCCCCGGTCGAAAGTACAGTGGGTTTGATGGTACGGAAGGGGAAAGTCCCTTGAACGATCCAACTAAAAGCCAATTTGAATTTCTGACAGACAATAAAGGGGAGAAAGTGCTGGCAAAATTCAACGCTCAATTGAGTCCGTGGACAGCACACAAAAGGCATGGGAACACCGTATATCTCGCGTCAGGGTTGTATGATGATGATAGCGACATAGACTCGGGCGATTCGGACTACTACACTAGCGATGACGAGACTGAAGACGAGCTAGAGGTAAACAGTGTCACTAAAACCACTGTAGCTGAACCCAATGAAAATAAGCGCAAGTCGGTGAGAGTGTCTACAAATGGCAGTATCAATAGAAACTCAACACATAGAAGCTCAACACATGATGGGCTTCGGATTCGTCTGCGCCGAACACCTGCACAGACGACAAGAAAATCATTATCAAGAAAATCGGGGCAGCATAGGGGCAGCCGCAATGGCGAGAGTGTGCGATTGTCAACCAAGTTTAATAATCCAGCCATGCTACTGGAGGAGACATACGAAGAAGGACAGGGCAGTATTGCGGAAATAGGGTCAAGTCAAACGTACATCAAAAGTCAAGCTAACCAGCACTCCTTCAAGTATACGCCTATCAGTCACTCTAATACGTATGCATACCAACCACGAGTATCTAAGTCAGTACCCACACGGCGTAAAAATCCAGACCCACGGCACAAACTGGAAGAGATGAAGCAAAGTCAAAAAGGCGGTTCAGGGAGACCCCCCGAAATCCCCCTGTTCCCAAGTGCACAAACCACACAAGCGCTGCCCAGAGGTGTAGACAGTCTGAAGGCAGACGGCGCCTCGAATATGCCGTCAGTGCGTACCCCGCCACCGCAGAGACAAGCACCCAGGCCACCGGCCGATCCTGATCAGATTTCAATCAAATATCACGCGAGCTCAATCAAAAGCTACAACAGCGATAGCCTGCGATCGCAACGGAGCACCAACAGCGATGGGGAGACGAGTCATAGGCACGGATATAATCCAGGAGAATCAAACACCTCGAGAGTCAGTGGTCTAACTTCTGTGGGAAGGCCTTCGTTGACACCCTCAATGGGACCGGGTTTGGGATATCACATGCCACCCAAACGCAAACAGTCCGTGCCACTGATCAAAGATATCTGGAACAATGCTAATGCGCCAAATAGTGGCAGCTCAAGTCTCCATTCGAGTATGAGCGCGAGCTCGGGTGACATAGCGAACAAAATTAATGGCAAAACTATCACTGCAGACCCATACAAAGACTTAGGTGCAAATACAAGCATCGATACACCGCAATCATACCTAACATACGACTCATCGCCTAGCTCGACCCGCAGTTCGACGCGAACTATTGGTAGCAGTCCATCGGTACCCAAGCGCAAGCGATCGTTGGACTCGCTCAGGGGAATGCTAATCGGGCCTAAAAATAGAACCTCAGGGGGCACTACAGAGAGGAGACTGTCAATCGATGCTCAGGGTAAGAGGAATGTAGGCCGGGTGTACAATATTGGATCCGCGTCTGATGACGAAACTGTTAAATCAGGTAGAGCCCCCGAAGTGTACGATATGACAGTATCGCTACCGGAACTCGGGGTCAATGTGGTGGCAGAAGCATGCAGTTTAAGTGATCCGCTTGATATTAATAATATTCGGTCGGGTACCAAATTGACAGTGCAGGTGCACAAGTTCCGGGTGTGTGAGGGGGATACGACGGTCATGAAACGCCGCAAACTGGTGTTTATGATGAACCATGAAGCGCAAACGGTATGTGTTTGTATGTCTATTGTCAACAGCGTTACGAGATTGAGCTCATATTTTGTGTGTGTGTGCTAAATCGTGACATCATTTCACTTAGAAAGTAAGCTGCACGAATCTTTTCGAATACAAAGTGGTTTATACGTTCTAACACCATTTATAGATCCCATTTCTATACACCTGCATATTCGTTGCGATCGCAGAACAGTAGCGAATCGAGAAATTCTAAATTTTTGAACCTCAATTTGCAACGCGCCTTCCTTCCGTAAATAGTTCATAACTCACACGGTCACGCCGACTGATGCGACGAATATAGGTGTTTTTGAGCAAGTGGGCTTCCAACTGAATCCATCTTCTAGTAAAAAACCGGTAAGAACAATACATAACAGCAAACAAGCAAATGTTGATGTATACTTTTGCTGCCTACATCTCAATAACTTACATGTATAAATACGTATACAATATATATACATATCTAGATATACGGTATTATTTCTAGATAGCTATTTAACTTCTTTATATATCTCAGTATATATTCCGAGATGCGCGAATATTTAATGCGTATCTGTAACCGAAAATCAACATGCTGTATACGTAAAAACTATCAATACCTATATATATAGACATTTGGATTCATATTTTACATATATGTATATATGCGTGGGTGTATGAGTGTGTGTGTACATATATATATATATATATATATGTATGTATGTATGTATATATATATATGTAT